TTCTTCAGATTTCCAGTGCTGGGCTCTGGGAGGTGGGGAGAGAGGACAAGGAGATTACAGATGTTCCCCATGGAAGGACTCTAAGTTGACTAGTGGCCCATCTTATCTGGGAAAAGAGTAGATCTGCATTTCTCTTCTTAGTATCTGGTAGGCAGGTATGAAGTACACTCTGAATTGGTTAAAAAAACAGAGTAGCCTTGGAACTAGGGTGTGGCAGAGGTGGGTCCAATCCAGTGACCAGAATTTATTTAGCCCAGTGCTCTGGTTCCTTGGTCGCAGTTGGCCCCACCTAGAAAAACCATGCTCCAGGGGCATTTCACACTGGCGTAGACCACTCTTCTCCAAAAGACGAATTCCTCCTCATCCTTCAAGGTTTGGCTCGGCTCCATTGTCACTTCCTCCGGGAAAGTCCCTGCTCTTTCCCCCTTGTCATGCAGTTTCAGATTATTATGTAGTAATTGTTTATGTAACTCTCATCCTTGTTAGTCTAGGAGCTCCACGAGGGGAGCAGAGAGGAAGACTAACACAACTGTGCATCCTCAGTGCCCAGCTAGTCTGCGTAACGTGTTCAGTAAATTAGGCGGAATGAATGAAATCCCATCGATGATTCATTGTTGTATACTTCATCTAGTAGGGTCTTCGCCCAATTTGAGGAGTGGTCCACATTATGTCATTCTTGTTCCTGGGAGATGTAACATGATCATACCTGTGGGATCTCATGAAAAAGTTGAACTTTATCCAAGAGGGCATGAAATTGGTTGTAAGGGGAGAAGGAGCGGGAGGAGCTCCATGCCCTGCATGGAGTCTTTGCGGATTCCACCTTCCGTGCCTGCACTGGCTTCAGGTATTGAACTTGCCTTCCTCTCTTGGGTATCTCTTGTGTGACTTGCTCCAGGGCAGCATCCAGAGAGCAGCAATCAAGGCTGCGTTACCCTCACATTCTAGGGGTGGGAAACAGAAGCATAAGGAGCATAAAATAGCTTGCCTGAGGTCCCAGAGTAAGAGAGTAGTGAGCTACAGTTACAACTCAGACTCTTTTTTTAAAAAGTTTATTATTTTTTTAATTTAATCTCTACACCCAACGTGGGGCTTGAACCTACGACCAGAGATCAAGAGCTGCATGCTCTTCTGACTGAGCCAGCCGGGTGCCCCGGGCAGCCCATGCTCTTAACCACCATACTTGACATCTTGTGTCTACTACACTTTGAAGTAGCACTTGCTTCGAAGGGCAGAGATATGAAAAGCACAACAGCTGCCACACCCAAAGCACTCAGTACATGTTGGCTGTCCCTACGCCTTACTCTCCTTTTGCAAACACTCTGTAAATACTTGTTGAATAGTTTTGAGTGTTAATAAGTGTGAGTGAGGATATAGAAAAGAGACACACACACGAGCATGTGTCCACAGAGACACATGGGCGCACATGCCAGAGAGATCACACGTGATGGTTGGGCAATCACAAAGCACCATGGCACCAGCAGGGACAGAGGAGCTCCACAAAGACAGACTGGCAGCCAGCAGAATCCAAAGCATCTTGGATGTCTCAGTGCTAATTCCAGGAGCATTCAGGGCCTGGGAACCCCAGTGAACGGGAGGAATGGTAGTCAGGGCTGCCATGCATGGTTGTGCGGTCTGTGCCCTACAGCTGGGGCTGGGGAGAGCAGGGGCTGATAACCAATCCGCACTCCATTCACTGTACGTACGGTGCACCTGAAAGGCTGTGTGCATCCCAAAGGGGCACCCTTTTCTCATTTATCTGCCAAGAGGAGTAACTTTTTCTAAATCTCACAAAGATGCTGTATAAGCTAATAATGGCGATAAAGATCCCAAGAGACCGAAGAGATCCCAGCAGAAGATAATGCTTAGGGGCAGCATCCATTCTTGGGGTTAAGCAATAGTAAAAAAAGGCTGGTGTTTAGGGACAGAGCCCCAGTAGTTCATTTACTCAATTATTAAGTACCTACTGTATGCTGGGCACTCTGCTGAAGAAGATGGATATGGGCTGCACTTCCATGGAGCTTACAGACCCCTGGGCGAGACAGATGTCAAACAAGGAAACTAATCTATAATGTCAGCCAGTGGTTAGGGCCATATTAGAAGGAAAACAGAATGAAAGATTGACAGTGACAGAGGAGAGGGAGAGCAATTCTGGGTAGGTGTTTGAGTTGGGAATGCAATGTTGGGAAGGAGCCTGCCATGATATCTTGAAGATCAGCCCTGTGAGAGGAATGAATGAACTGGTGTTGGGGTTCAGGGTAATATCCAAGTAATAGCAAATGGTTGGAACCAAAGAAAGGCAACCTAGAAGGACTGAGTTCTACCCAAAGGGATGTGAGAGAGAGAAAATAGTACTATTATCCTTGCACAAGCCCAAGGGGCCCCACTCATGATAGGAGGAAGCTGTGAGCAGGAAGGATGTTGCAGCCTCAAATGGAGGAGGCTTATTCTGCCTGTGCCCTTTTCCTCCCAAGAGAGTGAGTGTTCAAATGGACAACAAACAGCCAGGCCAAGTACGACAACAGAACTCTGACCCACAATCTCTGTAGCAGAATGATCAGGACCTATTAATGACTGCCAGGACTCCTATTTTGATGTCCCTGCTTCCACCTCAGGACCAACCAGAAAAAATTACATAGCTATGCAAACCAACTACATAGGAGGCCCCACTTCTAGTTCACCTGCCTCCAGCTTCCCCTGGCCAACAGCCTCTAGTCAGGGCAGACCTGAAGCCTTCCCAGTGCAAGACCCTTTGCTACAGCAAGCTCTGTGTCAGTAGGCTCTGTTCTCTTTTGGGAGGGTCTTCATGGATTTCTAGACTCCCTTTCTGCTGAGTGGGGATGCAGATATGGGGTGAATCGTGAGAGCTAGAATGGAAGCAGCCTGGCGGATTGTGGAATTGCCATATACCCTGGACTGTTAGAAACACACACACACACACACACACACACACACTCCCCAGAGGAGACTTTTTGGTCTCAGATTGAATGGTCAAACTTCATCTGTTTCAACTGTACTAATTTGGAACTTGTGCAAATTTGCCTGGAGCGCCCTGGGCGAAAGGGTACATTTGCACTGGATTAAAAATCAGAGTTTGCTGAGCAGATTCATGTACACCAGATTTCACTCATTTACTGGGATATTTGAGGTACTTTAGCCTCTTTCATTTGCATACAACGACGGATATGCTAATTGCAATAGACTCTGACCTATTCATTAGTACTTAGAGCGCACTTAGTCTGGGTGGCCTGGGAATGCTTGGAATGGAGAGGAATAAAGCTGCTCCGGGACCCACAAAATTTTGAACTCTTGTCAATTTTGACTGGACTCCCCCAGTCGGGATGAACAAGCAAACCTTACTCTTTCTTGGATATTTTGTGTCCCCAGTGTAAATCTGTCTTTGGATACAGCTCTGGCCACCACGTGGCCCAGGATCACAGGACACCACTCTGGATGGGGGATGTGTAAGGCCAATTCATTAATATCTACATACAACCGACCCACCCTTCTTCTAGTCACTCCAGCTTCTCGGTGGTGACAGCCCCCACTGGTCTCCACGTCACTTCTCTATGCCCACAGGGAAGCACAGAGGGGGCAAACTCCCAGACTGGCTCCTTGGTACCGTGGCCTCAGTCATTTGATCTCCTAGAAGCAGCTTGGGGCAGGAAGATGGGCCAAGATACAGAACTAATGTCTTAGGCTTTTGTGTCCTCCAGTCTCATAATTCACTCTCATTTTCAGGAACCTTGCACCACACTTGACCAAGCAAAGACCAAGTGGCCCCTGGAGGTTCAGCGATCCTTCTTGGCTTACCTGTGAGTACTATGGAGCTATCTGGGAATCATGACCCAGAAGTGTAGTTCTTTGGAACATTCCTGTCCGTGCCCCCAGGCCTCCCAACACCTCTCCACCCATTCACACATTCATCCATCAAACATTTTCTGTGTGCCTCCTGCATGTTAGCATGACACAGTCTTGACTCTGGAGGAGCCGTGGTCTACAGTGAGACAGGCATTTATACAAATAATGCTAATCTAGTGTGATAAAAGCTGTAATTGAGATGTGTGCAAACTACCAAGTGAATGCGGAAGAGTGAGCAGATAACTCAGCTTGATTGGGGAAGGCTTCACAAATATCAAGCAGGTGATGCTTGAATGGAGTCTTGTGGAAGCTTCCATTAGCTGGAGACATGGGTAGGGAGGGGAGGCATTCCAGGCAAAGGCAGGAGGACTTAAAAGAGTCAAGACAAGGCATATAGTTCTGTGAGGTTGGAACAGAGGATGAGGGAAGGAAGATCCCAGAAACTGGAGTTGAGGTTGTCTTGGGCATCCTGCTGGAGGATTTGGGCTTTATTCCGAGGTCACAGTATATACACCCAAAGCAGGGTTGTGAACTCACATGCCAACAGGGGCCAGGCGATGATGTCAATCAGTGAGGTGGGCCAGGAAGCCCCGGGAGCACAGGCTTTATCCAAAGGCGGCAACTGATTGTTACCATGCTAGAATGCACTCAGTGTCACCAAATTCCCATTAAAAAAAAAAAAAAAAAAAGGGAAATCCATATTTTTATATGAGCACTCCCAAGTTTTAACTGTTGGAAATTATTTCAAAACATCATGCTGGCCAAGCAAAAACATCTGATGTCCTATCAGTCCCTGGGCTTCTAGTTTGGCACTTCAGATATAAAGCTTAAGCAGAGAGCTGTCATAGTCAAACTTAGTTTCAGAGTGTCCTCACGGATCTCCATATGACGTTTCTGCAGCAGCCTCTGCCAGCAAGAACCTCTTTTCCCCATCTTCACCCTCTTGCTCCTTGCCCACATGGTGTTTGCATCCCTCGCTGCCCTCCGGGACCACGCCCACCCCTCACTGTCCTCCGCGACCATGCCCACCCCTCACTGCCCTCCCGGACCATCCTCGGCACTAACCAGCGCCCCCATTTGCACAGGAGGAGCAGGATGAATGAACCGTGCTCCAGGCCTGGCTTAAAGAGAAGAGCCCAGCATTAAGGACACGAGAGAGCCATATTTATTTCACATGGACAAGCATGATTCCTTCGCATGCTGAACATGAAAGCTCGCGTGAGGAAAGTACCCGTAACAGCAGAATTAATGTGCTTTTGTCCACAGGGAGCAGGGAGGGTCACAAAGTGGTTTTCAAAGACAGTTACCCTTCAAGCAAAGTTGAGACCACAGGCTTTGAAATATCTGGTTTATTTCATCATCGAAGGGTCTGTCTGCTAGGAGTGGCCAGGGGTGCTTCCGGCTCTGCAATGTCTCGATGAGCTAAGGTCAGGAGGAAGAGGACAGTCTCCTGTCTCACCACCCAGGGCGGCTAGGGAGAGTGAAGCTCAGAGGGGAGGTACATGCCACCTGGAATTAGCAAGTCCGCACTGGGGTGGACAGTGACAGGTACAGACTGCTGTGTTCACAGCAACAGAACCATCACCACTTATAATATCTAGCATAATCAGAAGATCTGCTCTTCTTAAAGCAATTTCCCAAGGCCTCTGATGGGCTGAAGGGAAATGATTTGAAATTGACCAGACATGGCAGAAGCAGGTCAACTTTGCCTAGACAGACTGGGGAGAGCTAGTGGCAGGGACCCCCTGGTCTCATGGCCTTTCAGGATGATGGAACCCGAGATGGGAAAGGGGGCTGGAGCCTGGGTTTGGTTTGCTGGGGGAAGAGGATCACAGGCTCTAGGGGCAAACCTCATGGAAGAGACAAGCAGAAGAGCCCTTGCATCTCGGTGGCTCACTCCCACCTGAAGTCCTGTCCAACCGTTTCATAAAATTTAATATTATAAGGTCTATAAAATTCCCGGAGCTGGTCTATCACTTCCGGATCGATCTGTACATGAGTTCTGCCTTTCGATTTGCCCAGGCACCGAGGCAGGAGGCTCGATTCTGTTTTTCTCAAGCAAGGGAATCCTTTGGTCTTGTTGAAGTAGAAATGCTTGTCCGTGATGAACCTCTTGATGCCCAGAAAGTCCTGGACCCGGCCCATCTCGCCTGCCGGGTCGGTGATGAGCCGCTCGCCGCTGACGAAGTGGATCTGAGCCAGCGGGAAGTACTGCAGCCAGCTCTCCAGGTGTAGCGCGTACATGCCAATGCGGATGGCGTTCCACGACACGTCCACCTGGCCCAGCGTGCGGTTGCGGAAGGACAGGCCCTCGAAGGTGGGGATGTCCGGCTTCTTGGAGAGCGTCTGCGTGTAATCTGAGATGGCTCGGGTCACCGGGTTCCGCACGACCACGATCAGCTTGGTGTCCCGGGACATGTTGAAGATGCGCCGAGGGGCCTCCTGAGTGACGAAATAGCTGGGTGTCTTCTCCAGTGTGATCTGGCTCTCGAGGGTCCGGGGCATCAGGCTCCTGTGGGGCAGAAGCAGCACATCATCAAACTGGGTCCCCCTGGGGAAGGGGAGCAGGGAGATCACGAGCGGGGCCCCCCCGCCCCGTTCCTCGGTGACATCTGAGCTCCACCTGCATTCTCCAGGGGAGAAAGCCACTTTTAGAACTAGTCTTTCAGCAAGCGTGATGCTTACAATACTGTGTTGTCGAATATAATCACTATACTGCATTAGATCTCCAGTGAGGAAGCCACTTCAACTCGTGCTAGTTGTTTAAAAAAAATCTTTAACAGGTCTGGTCCCAGGAATTCAGCTGGGTAGGGATCAAACCATTCTGAACACCTACGAACTCAACAGGAGATCGAAGAAAAGAATAGCAATAACTCTCTGAACAGAAAAGTGACCACTTTCTGGAAGGTAGGACGTGCGGAGAAGTGAACCTGAGGCGATATTCGGGAGGGTAGACAGCGGGGGAGGGGGCCTCTGTCGGCCACTTCTGGCAAGTGATAGAGCAGCGGAGCACAAAAGTGGAACTTTTAGAAGTCCACTCCGCTGAGGGATGTTGCTCCAGTGGCTAAGCAGGGCGGTGTAACCCTCGCTGGGACAGTGTGGTCTCAGGACCCTCGGGGTCACAGAAAGACCGGGGGTGCCTGAGTGCGGCAGAGCTCCCAGGTATCGGAGCGGGGAAGCTGGCTGCAGAGATGGAGCCGAGGAGCCGGCTCTCAGCTCAGGGTTGCCATAAACTGTGATCTGGGGCAGAG